GCGAAAAGGCAACAAGCACGATGGTGCAAAAGATGATCCCGATTCCGAAAAAGATCTATTTCTACTGGATCTGCCGTGGTCAGGAAGAGTTCGACTGGTTCTACGACCTGCTCTCGGCGGCCGCAGAAGGTCCAGCGGCAGGTGTTGTCGAGATCACGCTGTTTTTGACTGGCGAGATCGAGCTCCAGCAGGTGAAGAAGCTTCCCTGCGCCTCGGGTCAGTTCTTTGGCCGCCCCAACTGGGGCCGGATCTTCAAGCAGAACCGTGAGAAGCATCAGGGGGAACACATTGGAGTCTTCCTGTGCGGCTCGCCCATCATCGGCGAAGAGCTCGGTCGGCAGAGCGTAAAGAATTCGGACGTCATCGGGACGCCAGGTGGCACACGCTTCTCCTTCTTCAAGGAGCACTTCTGAGAAGCGTGTCGGTTCGCCAGTTTTGTCCTCTCACGTGATGTCCAGGCATGAGTCCACGGATTACGGAGGAGGTAACACGAGTCGAGTGCCATTCCCAGCTACTCCGAGCAGAATGCATGACATCTGATCTGTGGATCCAGTCAGCCCAGCCATTCAAAATCTGACCTAAGCTTCCGGGAGCTCGTATCTAAATCTGTACTGCCCCCAGAATTCATAGCATTGAACCTTCATAACAAAAGGCTTTTGGGTCAGACTGGAAGACAGCTTAGCTGCAGGAGTCCGGTTTAGCCGACTTCGCATGCTGCCGGGGCAGGGCATTCACTGGACAGGCGTGTTCGGGGCAGAGTCTCCAACCGCCTGCGCCGGTCTTACATTTCTGGGAGGTCAAGAACAACCATTCCAAAACTGAAGCCATGAGAGAGACAGTCTGCACGTCCATACCCAAACCCCCGAGAACGACCTGCGAAGATTCTTTCCCTCTCAGAGCCAGAAGCGGTACCTTGCCTAGACCACCGCGCGATTTGATGGGCCGGCACAAAGCCGGCTGAGCAGATCACACTTTGCGGTACGTGATCCAATGTTGGCTACACGCTTTTGGATAATTAGTTTTTGAAGGTCTACAAGCTGTAGGCCGAAGAGGATGAAAGGCCGCATGCTGCTTGCAACATGTCCCCTGCTCAGACAACGAGCTCGTCCGCCCTTCACCTTCCAAGAAGGCCGCATGTCGTTTGTATCCTTACAATCCGGCCCCTGCTCCAATGGACAAACAATCGTGCAAGCCTTGCGCTGCCGATCTGGCAGTTTGATAACTTTACAGTAAGTTTGAAGTTGGCCCGACCTTTTGACAGACGGTGCCCGAAGGAATGGGGGCTGGTGATTTCGGCTTTGAAGTGACCGACTCTGCAATGAGAGTCCCGGAACAGTGCAGAGCCGTGAGTTTCTGCGCCTGGGCGTGCCGCCTCGGTGGTGAAGAGTAGAGATGCCTAGTTTTCTTCGGCAGGTCAAGGTGTCCACATGCAAACAGTGCTGTGGTGCTGGCCTTGCCGGTCTGCGAGCGAGAAGTGGGGAAGTATAATCAGGGCATTGGTGTAGGTGGTTCAATCCCCATATGTTGTGTGGTCTGCACTCCTCGTTACTACCTCCATCCGACCAGATGCGGTAAGGAAAAGAGGTGTCAAAAAAAAGAACTCCGAGTCATCAAGTCAGCCCCAAGAAGAGTGGCACCTCAAACTCCGGACTCACCAGGAAGATCGTGGCGGTGGGGAAAAACTACCAGAAGCACATCGAAGAGATGGCTCAAATAGGCCGGGCACTCAGCGGTTTCTTGCGAACTTAAAGAGAGATCATCGTCCTTTCAAATCTTGGCCTTTTGCCAATACATCCTGCCTGAGTGCGCGAATCAGCCAGGCAGCAAGAAGGATGAGAAGTTTTTGTCCGAGGCAAGTCGGTGCCCGCACAGGGAGGGTTCGGCGACATTTTTGCAGGTCGTTGGTCTAAACGTTCTCTTGGGATCTTCGACATAGGGACTGTGCGGCGGAAGAATGTGGTGGCTCGCTTATGGCCGAACGGAAGACTGCAGCCAGGCACCCAAAGTCCCGGTGCTTTTCCTGAAGCCCACAAGCTCCTATCTGCCCATGGGCTGCTCGTCCGCACGAACTGGTTCACCCCAGAAACTTTTAGGGGTTGGCTTCTTGAGCGACCTCGCATTTCTCAAAACTGCATGAAACATGCATTGTAGAAGCTCCGAAACCATGAAAGGTACGCTCCGAGTATGTGACCATCACTGCCTCTTAATGGCGCAGGACGTTGTTGCAACAGCCAGCAAAGGTAGTGGACCCATACGGCTACCGAGAAACATTGGGCCAGTCCACCATGAGGCCAGACCTTCAGAAGTATCTATGCACTGGAAGCATTTGGCAGGTTCGGAGGCTTGGTTGGGGTTGTTTGTTTCCTACTTGTGGAGGGATGTGCTGCATTCAGCAAAGTCCTTTCAGGAGCCTGACACGGCTTCCCGACTTCCCGAGCAGAACTTTCTTTTTTTGAAGTCCTCTGTGACCACTAACTGTGCTACGATTATTCGTACATATACATACATGCCCACACAGACACATGCTTATCTCTACTATGTAGTGGCTGTACGTCGCGATTGATAGAGTACATGTGTGTGTGTGTATCTTTCTCTATATTCAAGAACATGAAGCCTGCAAATCCTGCCCCTACATTGGATGTACGTGCCCCTGAACTATATCCTTAAAGGATGCTCGGAAAGTACCGTCAGTGAAGGTGGAGCTGGGCATCGTGATCGGCCAGAAATGCAAGTCGCCTTGCTCAATGTTCCTCAGAGGTCTATGGCGGATCTGGAAGTACGTACACTTATCAAAGGCACAACTTTTCTGTTCCCTCTAGTTCAGTTAGCCTATGCCGAACGCAAACTAATCGCTTCCCACGTTAATTAAACCCCCCCTAGTAATAAAACTGCCGGCCCCCGGGATTTTGTGGTTTCGGGGCCATAATTGAAAGTTGATTAAAAATATTAGGGGGGGCCTTCGGATTGTATGAGTTTTAATAGAACCAAGACTACAGTAGTACTAAAC